GCCTTCTGCACCAGAGCGACCATGTGGTGACTTCACACACCTGGATCAATGCTCAGGGTGTTCAGTTCAGGTTGGGCCGTTGAGGGCAAATTGACTATTGGAAAATGTGGCTCAGTGTTTACGTCTGCTATGATTCTACCACCTGTACTTCCCGTTAATGTTGATATATAACAAGATAAATGTTATATCTTGTCCTTTATATATATCAAACTTCTATATAAGTAACACCAACGTATATTTTTTTTTAACTAAAGTCTAACATTATCAAGGAAGCATCGAGCATCTACAGTATCTCTTCGCTGAATTTTCTCACTTTCATTTTATTTGGGACCATAAACCATGACGGATATTTTACTCTCTATATATCTGGTGACACACGAAGTATTTACCGCACCGTTGACATCATTTAAACACGATTAAAAAATGTTGACGGAGACTTTCCAGCGGCGGCGTCACGTCATGGAGCGGGAATGAATGTCACTCTGGTAATGGTCAACTTTTTTCTTCACTCGATATATTGCCCCAAAATTTTTTCCCGATTTTTTTCACCCTTCTGGTAAAAATGTGTGTGGGGAGGGGGGGTGTCACGTACTCTTTCTACCTGACTTGGGTCGGGAAATCACCGGTTAAAATATAAACATTACAGAGATATATTGTTTATTAATCCTCTGTACCTGGAACCATAGAGAAGGTTAGGTTAGGTTAGGTTTTCCTTGTCTTATAACACCAGTAAGCCATCGCCCAGCATCGTATCTCACATCAACTTGTTATTTCATCAAGCACTTTGTCTTAAGCCGACACTGACAGTAAATGAGTTTAATACAGTCTTAAATCATCAACATAAAGACCAGTTGTTGTACAGTGACGATGGATAATGAGAGAGTCAACTTGAGAAGCCTAATGGGCGGTGGTGGATGTGGGTCACTACTGCAGCAGGGCCACGAGGACCAACGTCTACCAAGTATACTCAAACATCAAGGTAAGCATGTGTAGTCACGAATACCTTTATACACACAGTCGCACATATCCTGTCACACGCCGCACAACCATAGACACATATACACTCATGTCCACATACACTGACACATATACACTCATGTCCACATACACTGACACACAAACATACATGAAGTGGTTCGAAAACAAGAATTACACCAACAGTTCAGTATTCAAAGTCCTCCTAATCAAGGGAGACTGAGCCCCTCCGATGGCCCTGATGCAGTGAGACATGAACAGTATTTACAACATAATCCATACACTCCTGACAAGACTGGTGCCTACACTTCAGCACCTCAATTGGCTCATTAACTGATACTACAGATGGCCAAGATGTGATTTAATAGTTTATAAGCATCTCAGAGGGCATTACTCAGTCGAGCGTTTATACCTGAAACTCGGGGATGTTCGCTTCACCAGGCTTGACCAACACTGACGCAGGTAAAGATACACTAACCAGTACATGCCCAGTACTTGTCAACAGTGTGTAAGAGAGACGTGACCGACCGCCCAAGTAGCTAACAGAACCGATCAGTGGCGAAGAGGATATAGCAAGATTATGGAGATTGGTGCTCTTCAGTGAGAAATTCCTAGGTCTACTACAAACCACAATTTCATGACGACAAAAACAGGTGATACAACATTCATTCATAAATACTTTTCTACGGTATATGATTTATCTGGCTGGAGATAAACTTTCTAAGAGGGTACCATGACAATACGACCACACTAATAAGATGAACACCACCGCTAGATTAACACTCCGCAAATTAAGTTAATCTTCCTACCTACAGTATGTCTGCTGGGTCGTTGGGCTAGGAGCGCGTGTTTACTCAGTTACACGTCTACACCGGAATAACATCAACATTTCTTAAGTGTTTATTAAATTACAACTTTTCCTTTTACCATCTCTGTGTTTACCGGTTATATAAAAAGTTTAATTAAATCTTGTAGGAGGAATGTCAGTATTTTAATTAACGGTAATATTTTTTTTACAGACTGACTGTTCCATTATTATTATTAGTTTTTAAAGATAACCCAAAACTCTCTCAGGATAGATATAATTTTCTTACTGCTAAATCGATCGCAAATATTCAATTCTCTCTGGCCTGAGGAAAATTATAATACCGGCGACAAGTTAAAGTTTCTAGACACTCAGCGGTGTGAATAGCGGCCATAAAACTCACGGTTAAATGATCCGGAAAATGACCGTAAGGAATTGGTGGTGGAGGCGTGATTGCTATTGATCACCTAGTTGTGTAGTCAAATAGTGTAGACGGAGAAAGTATTGTTTAGATGTAGAACAAAGTTATTTTATAGTGATTGTGGTCATAACACCCCTGGCAGCTTAGGTCATTATGTCATGGGGTAGTTTAGGCTCGTATAATGAGATGGTAGTTTACGCATTCAGTTTGGTACATGACCTATTTGCATACGCTCTCAGTAAACTTTTCCAATCAGGTGGTTTTCAATGTCGGCTATAGACCACTTCAACAATAACCTAACCTAACCCACTTGCATACAATTACCTGTGCCCATTTCCAGTGAACAGACAATCCTTTAAATTAAAACAAGGTCACCATCACACACACACACTTTTGCGGGAGCTCGAAACTAAACTTAGTCAAGCTTGAAGCAAGATAAAAGCTTTCCCTTTTGTATCTGGTAATCTGGGAGAGTGACGTAAACACAGTCAGTAGCACACATACGCGACAGGCTGCACACGGTGTATATAAAGTTAGGCGTGGAAATGGTCGCCGGCGTCACACTCATTCACACTCGCTCTGATAAAATCCAAACACACAAGAAAGAGATAAAAAAAAAAAACACAATAAGAGTCTTTACATGTCTGAGGTCACTGGCAGCTCACAAAACTCATTCTCACGACCACCGCTGCTGACTGGAGGGGGGAGGGAAGGATGGGGGGAGGGGGGTAGTAGGGGGAGGGAGAGGGATAGGGGAGGGGGGGGGTGGATGGTGACGGAGGCAACTTGACACAGATAACTGATTTTGTGTGTTTATATTGGGGGAAGAATTTTTTTTTTTTACAATTATAACGGCCCCGTATTGTTTAGCTAAGAGAAACCAGGTGTCTTATGGGTATTACCTACGTTAACACAGACGACATACGTGATTATTTTGGCGATCTTAACTACTTCAAGACAGATATTTTATGCAAGTTCGCGAGGTAAAATTGGCGGTGGATATGTGGTAAATTTAACGGTGAATATGTATTAGAATTTGGCGGTGAATATATGTGGTTTATGCACTAGGCGAGTGTTATTTCGTCACATCCGAGAGTTTCTGAGTTACCCGAGATAACACAAACTGTCTTCTCATGCCTGATGCGTACATAATACTGTATTACTCAACTTACACCACCCGTGAGACATATTTAGCCCCCGTGAGATATATTTAGCCCCCGTGAGAAATATTTAGCCCTCGTGAGAAATATTTACCCCTCGTGAGAAATATTTAGTCCCCGTGAGAAATATTTAGCCCCCATGATAAATATTTAGCCCTCGTGAGAAATATTTACCCCCCCCGTGAGAAATATTTAGCCCTCGTGAGAAATATTTAGCCCCCGTGAGAAATATTTACCCCTCGTGAGAAATATTTAGTACCCGTGAGAAATATTTAGCCCTCATGATAAATATTTACCCCCCGTGAGAAATATTTAGCCCTCGTGAGAAATAAGGATTATAACAATACGACTACAATTACTGCTACCACCACCAATAATAATAATAATAATCTTCACCGAAAAAGCACAAAAAAGATGTCCAGTTCAGCTCACAATTACCAACACACACAACATGACACCTGAGTGACAAATGAGCAGTAATTAGGGAGGGGGGGGGGAGAATGTAGGCAAGGTGACTCCCTCCTTACCTGCACTACCACAACACCTGTAATTACTGCCCAGGTGAGCCCCCTCCTTCACCAGTTACCTGTCTTACTAAAAAATCAACACCCCCCCCCTTTTGTAACGCTATTACCTATGTAGATAAATTTGTTTTGTAGAGTAACTGCAGGTGGGGGAGGAGGGAGAGGGGGAGTGAATTTCCTAATATGGCTTAAACTTTCTAACCTAACTGTACCTAACCTAATCTATGCCAACTGTACCTAATACTAGTTTAATCTTGAAACTCAAAAGGACAAATTTAGCTCACCGTTCGTACCTACGCCTTAATAACACCACACACCCCACACACACACACACTTTGCTCAGGCTTTTGAAGATAAGATATATTACCACTACTGTAACTACTACAACTACTCCTACAACTACTACAACAAAACACAAACCAGAACTCATAGTCCAAACCAGTGTACGCAGGTATACCAAGGTACTACCCCCACACCTCCAAGGAGAGGCTATTTTACCTCATCACCTGTGCCAATAAGACCACTCCTCCTTCCCGCGTGAAGAAGGGACCCAACCAAGGTGACCGCCACTACCACCCGTGTTGTCGTCGGGAAAAAGAAACAAGAATACAAAAAAATCAGAACAATGTGACAAAGACAATAAGAACAGTACAGGAAAATTATTTAAACCTCGGTGTCAAATCTTCTAACACCACCACCACCAAATCAACACCAGACACCTAACTTATATACATACGCATTTCAACAGCCGTGCGTAAATCCTCGTAAGTGATGACCCATTCACTCCTCCCACTTACGCAAAGACAACATCGATGGAGACTATTTGTTTACAACCTTTGAATTACGTTGTTTTACTCATTAGAACCGTAAGTAAAATATCAAATGCTCTCAAGTCTATAAAATAGTAATATATATAATCAATCCCAGGTAAACAAAAGAGTAAGTAAGTTTCCGAAATGCGTAAAATTTCAGAATTATACGTCAACAAAGACCGCTATGTATTACCCCCATTCTTCAAGTACATAAACAATATAAATACAAAAGGATTATAGATGTGTTGATTATAGAAGATTGAAATTATTAGAGATGATAATAACACCACTACCACCACTTACCATGTGTAGGGTAGTACCTCTCTGCAGGTCTCAGCTCCCCTCCACAGAACTGTCTCAGCTCATAAGCTTGTTCCATCTTATCCTGCAGGTCTTCACAGCTGTCTTACGCCCTTTACTCCCTATTCCTCACTCTTTATCAACAACACCGAGGTCCTATTTATGCGTCTACAGCCACCACAACATTGCCCTCTTTGTTTTAGATTATATAAATTACAGGATTATAACATTAGTCTATAAGAGGTTGTCAAGGCTGGCTCTTTGGGGTAAATTGTCTCAGTACCTAATATTCTGCCCTTACCGCCAGTCTAGCAGCTTTTCTGGCACTCTTGGTTGGCTGTTAGTCCTGGCCATAAAAATGCTTGTCTTTGAGGGCACTATTGGATAGCCCTTGTAATACTGTTGGTTGGCCCAGGTGACGGTGCTGACTGACCATGGCTTTACTACTTCCTGGCACTCCTGACTGATTCTGGTGCCAGTATTTGTCGACGTTGCCGTACAACTGACCTGCCTGGCCCTTGCCCTTGGCGTACAACAGGCTGGTACTGCTGACGGTCCCTGGTGGCACTGCTGGGTGGCTAGGCCCTGGGGAGTGTCGCGTGCCCTAGCAGGTACCGCTGGGTCGGGTATCAGGGAGTATCCGGTGACCACCAGCAGGGACAACCACCGGTACTCACTCAACTCCACTACACCCTAACACCTTCCTCGTGTTATCCTCTCTCTCTCTCTCCTCCTCCGGCCTTGATGACTCCAGCCGGGGATGATGATGTTAGAGGCAGCAGTAGGAAGGCTGCTGGAGGCACACACGCTGGGCGAAGATCTCACCACACCACGTTGTTCTCGTAGCCAAGCTTAAGTAAAAGTTTGTTGTGTACAAGTGGCATGCGTCCCTCCCTACACACCACGTCTTTGGTTATCAATTCTTTGGTTGTGAGTTATATATTATTTGATACACCTTTGGTATATGTAAAAATATGATCCAGAAACAAATTAATCATTTAATAATTTAAATGAAAAATTGCAACAAGCCCAGGCAACGAACGCGAACATCACGTAACACTCTCTGGAGACAGTCAGTACCTTCGTCTATCCTATCACCATACTACTACTGTATCAGCACAGACAGACACACGCACACACCACACACCGTCGATCCAGTTCGCACACCCGGTCAAGTAAGAATAATGTGTTGCCTCCCGAACCCCGTCGACGAATGCACATGTTCACAGGCCCCGCCCCCTCCCGGGAACAGACCTGTTAGCCGCGCTGTCACTGGCTGGCCCAGGTCAGTACGCACAAGTCTCCACCAATGAGCGCGGGGCTTCTAAGTGTATTCACACCTGTTAATCTATCGTGTAATGAATCTGTTTCAGGATTAGCTCCATCGATTACTTGTCTTTGATGGCGAGACTTTCTTAAATCAAGTCACGCAACGCATCTAAAAATACCTGAGTCATGGGGACAAAGGCGAGAAAAAGAGGTGTGTTATCAATTCACCTTCAAGAATTCTGATATAACTGAGCACAATACTTTATATACAGGAGGACAATGAGCAAAATTACTCAATCATTCCCGAGGACATAGAAAAAAATAATAACAACAAAAAATAACTCCCAAAATAAATCGGAGCGGACAAATGAGGGCGGACAGTGCCGGGTCAGACGTCCAACTATACTGACTCCTGCAACCAGCCATTAATTTACACCGGCCGACTTATGTAGTTCGTGCCAGGTCTATTTGCTTTCCATTTCCTCCATGTTTGGGCATCATTACGCCGCCCAAATTGCCATCAACCCTACAAATGAGCGACAGATACAAACGCTACTGGTCATGACAACTTCTTACCTATAGCTTGTGTGCATGGCAAGACTCACCTGGGGGAAAATTGGAGTTTACCTGAACTAAAAAATAACGGATCGCCTAAAGATTCTGCACCTCAGTTTATTTCACCTGAAGATTAACCACCCTACCCTACCTTAACTTAACTTACCCTACCCTAACCAAACCTATCCTAACCTACCCCACCGTAACGCTAATCTAACCTAACCTAACTTACCCTACCCTAACCAAACCTATCTTAACCTACCCCACCGTAACGCTAATCTAACCTAACCTAACTTACCCTAACCTAACCTAAACCTAACTCAACATAGGTGGTCGAGGTGCCTTGATAACATTGTAACGTCCACGAGATATTTTTCGCCTGAACGATACTAAATTAATCCCCTGAACGATACCCCTACAATACCCCAAGACATTTTTTTATTGCTACAGACGATAGAACCGATAGTTTCTACACTGTTGCCTCAGTACGATCCTCGACAATCCTACAATACCATTATAACCTGACGATACCCAGAGTGGAGTATCCCCTTGAAAATTGCAACAGAAAATGAACGATACCAAACCACCTCAAAACCGACGATACCAAACCACCTCATAACTCACGATACTAAACCACCAAGATACCAAGCCACCTTAAAACCCACGATACCAAGCCACCTCAAAACCCACGATACCAAGCCACCTCAAAACCCACGATACCAAGCCACCTCAAAACCCACGATACCAAGCCACCTTTACGATACCAAGCTACTTCCTGACAATAACGATAAATGCATTAGATAGAAGAGTCCCGTGCCGGCTGGAGTCCCCTTAGACAATTACGTCAGAAAATGGCCATGACTGTGTGTGTTTCCATCCCGGTAACGGTGGTGGCGCCCGGGGCTGTGGGTTGGCGGGTAATGTTGACCACGGCGGCCACGGTACGCTGGTGCTGGTAGGGAAACTGACCGTCAATCGTGTGGCCAGCGGGAAAGCGGGACACACACACACACACACCTCTCACGCACATACATACATACATACATACATACATATATACATACATATATACATACAGACATACATACATTCATACATCAATGCCACCCTGATCCATGATAAACACAAACATTCATACGCAACATTCGATCTCAGGTCAAAATAGAATCACCTGTAGGCTAGACTAACCGAACCTAACCGAGTAAATTAGGAATATTTTGTTACAGTTGTTTTTTTTTACGAATCAAATTCAATCAAACCAAACTTAAAACATAAATAAACAAAAATTATATTCCTGTCCAATTTCTCAAACTGTCAAGACTCGCGGAGGAATTGACGACCCGAAAGAGACAACCTGACGTAGATTGGGACGTTCTTGACACCCCCAGGAGGGAAAGGAGGCCAACTATTCGCTAGATTATTGGTTCGCCAGGAGATGTTTGGCCGCTAACCCTCAATCGAATGAAACGCTGATTGTGCTTGACGAGGCGAGACGGCGCGAGGTGGACGGGAAAGGCATGATGGTGTACTGTAGAGGCAGGATGGTGTACTGTAGAGGCAGGATGGTGTACTGTAGAGGCAGGATGGTGTACTGTAGAGGCATGATGGTGTACTGTAGAGGCAGGGTCGTGTATGGGAGAGGCAGGATGGAAAATCATATCGAACACATCATGGTCTCTTAAAACCAGAGGAACATTACTGAATATGGGTTCTTTTTCAATATACGCCGGACAGGTGAACCTTAGACCGGACAGGTGAACCTTAGACCGGACAGGTGAACCTTAGACCGGACAGGTGAACCTTAGACCGGACAGGTGAACCTTAGACCGGATAGGTGAACCTTAGACCGGACAGGTGAACCTTAGACCGGACAGGTGAACCTTAGACCGGACAGGTGAACCTTAGACCGGACAGGTGAACCTTAGACCAGACAGGTGAACCTTCTACAATAGTTCCTCTCTCTCTCTCTCTCTCTCTCAGTTATGGTGAAAATATAAACTACTGCCGACCTGTGTGGATGTTGGCCCAGACCCTGAGGCACCGCCACATTCCTCCTCACCTACACGAGGAAATGAAGGAAACGAGCTGCGTGTCTGTCTGTCTGTCTGTCTTAAAGAGGCGACCCACAATGTCCACGTGTCATGGACGGCAGTACGGAGAGACAGACAGATATTTAAAAATAACAACAGCAGAGTGGAAAGAAAAGGTGTAGAGAGAGAGAGAGAGGTTTGACTGGCTATCAAAATTTTATTATTATTATTATTATCATTATCATATCATTCTTTTCTCAGTTCCTCTTTAATCGCCTTCCCAAATCCGCATTTTTACCCCACCTCCATCACCTCCTTCCCTACCCCCACCGCTTATCACCTCCTTCCCTCCTCCTCCCCATCACCAATAATCTCTCCCTCCCCCTCCTCCTCACCCCCCCACACAGCGGAAGGAGTGACCAATGTCCGCGTGACCCAGTAATATAGTTGTGTTTCACCGCCTGCCACTTCTGCTGTTGCTGTTCCTGGTGTTCCTTAATGGTGGTATTGATGTTCGTTGGTGTTCCTTGTTTGGTGGTATTGGTGTTCCTTGATGGTGGTATTGGTGTTCCTTGATGGTGGTATTGGTGTTCCTTGGTGTTCCTTGTTTGGTGGTATTGGTGTTCCTTGATGGTGGTATTGGTGTTCCTTGAAGGTGGTATTGGTGTTCCTTGTTCCTGTTGTTCCGTGATGGTGGTATTGATGTTCCTTGTTCCTGTTGTTCCTTGATGGTGGTATTGATGTTCCTTGTTCCTGTTGTTCCTTGATGGTGGTATTGATGTTCCTTGTTCCTGTTGTTCCTTGATAGTCATCGTACTCTAGAGGTTAAGTTATCGTACTCTAGAGGTTAAGTTATCGTACTCTAGAGGTTAAGTTATCGTACTCTAGAGGTTAAGTTATCGTACTCTAGAGGTTAAGTTATCGTACTCTAGAGGTTAAGTTATCGTACTCTAGAGGTTAAGTTATCGTACTCTAGAGGTTAAGTTATCGTACTCTAGAGTTAAGTTATCGTACTCTAGAGGTTAAGTTATCGTACTCTAGAGGTTAAGTCATCGTACTCTAGAGGTTAAGTCATCGTACTCTAGAGGTTAAGTTATCGTACTCTAGAGGTTAAGTTATCGTACTCTAGAGGTTAAGTCATCGTACTCTAGAGGTTAAGTCATCGTACTCTAGAGGTTAAGTTATCGTACTCTAGAGGTTAAGTTATCGTACTCTAGAGGTTAAGTTATCGTACTCTAGAGGTTAAGTTATCGTACTCTAGAGGTTAAGTTATCGTACTCTAGAGGTTAAGTTATCGTACTCTAGAGGTTAAGTTATCGTACTCTAGAGGTTAAGTCATCGTACTCTAGAGGTTAAGTTATCGTACTCTAGAGGTTAAGTTATCGTACTCTAGAGGTTAAGTCTGAAGAGGTTAAACATCACAATTTATCCCATATATTAAACCCTGATACTCCTCTGTCGTTACCTGTATATAAAGTAACACAAATCACATCATTTTCTTTCATACATAAAACGTCATACTCTCGTCTATGTATATCTCACACATACCCTATACATAATTAAAACCAATTGTAATTCTGTATACATAAACACTAATGTTATTTTTGGTCTATGTATACGCATATATTCTTGTGTATAAGGCCAATTCTGACGCATTTATGTTATCATCAATGTATATACGTGACTGTCAATGTATATAAAAGTGACTGTCAATGCATATACACGTGCCTGTCAATGTATATACACGTGACTGTCAATGTATATACACGTGCCTGTCAATGTGTCTTGTTTCCTCAGGTATATTCCAGTGCTCAGGCGAGGTGCACGTGTCCCATACTCAACAAGGTGGTGATCTAGTTCACTCCTATTAGGTAAAAATGTCTTAACTACAGGAGGTCAACGACACGAGAGGACGGGGGGGACAGTAAAAATTTTAACACCTGCTCTACCTCCTTCCTTCCTTCCTTCTCCTTCCCTTTTCTCTGCCTTTTTCTTTTAAGCTTCCCATTCTTCCTCGTCTCCTATCACCCCTCCCTCCTCCTCCTCCTCCTCCTCATTCTCCTCTTCTAGCATTCCTCTTCTTCCTCTATCTTTCCATTTTCCACCACCTCTCTTCTTCTCTCCTCTTCCTCCCCTTCTCCTTTCCTTCATCTTCCTACTCTTACGTTCCCCTCCCTCTTCCTCCCCCCTCATCATTCACCCCCTTCCTACCCCCTCCTCATTCACCCCCCCCCCCTTCTTCCTCTTCCCAATAACCTCAACACAGAACTCGATGGTGGTAGT